ATAATGATTTTGATGATGTTACAAAGTGAAGAATATGAAGACTCTTGTTGTATTAAGTTTAAAAGCATTCTTGTATAACAGAAGATACCAGGATCAAGCAGTTAAGTATCGAGCGGTGGAAGACATGACCGAGACCAAGAGAGGTATGACCAAGACCGAGTAGTTAGGACCGAGCGGTGGAAGGCATGACCGAGACCAAGCGAGGTATGACCAAGACCGAGCAGTTAGGACCGAGCAATGGAAGGCATGACCGAGACCAAGCGAGACATAAATGAGATCGAGCGATAGTAGTTAGGATTTTGAGTTCTGACACTGTAGAATAAAATGTTAAGAGTTGGAAGGAGAGAGAGAAGAAAAGGTCAGGTCGAACAGTGGAAAGTTGTAAAGAATCAGGCCGAACGGTGGAAAGCTGTAAGAAGTCGAGTCGAACAATGGAAGCCGACCAGTTGGAAGAGTTAAATATTCTAACTATTCCAAGTCTCGTAGATAATCGATTATCAGTTACAATAATCGATTATCATTGGCAATTGTAATATGTCTTTTCGGTTTCGACGTGCATGCTATATATACTTTTGTCAAATTCCTTTATAAGTTATCTATGCCATTTGAGAATACAGTTTGTTTGAGGAAGTTCTCAAGTGATAATGTTTACTCTTCTCAAGTCTTGTCAATAGGAGAAGCTCGCGCTTTGTGTGTCAAAGGTCAGAGTGATTCTCTTCAAGTTGGTAGAGTTGTCTCTTCCGGTTCGTTTGTCGAAGGAAGATTTTTTTTGTTGTTCTTAATTTATATTCATCTTGTTGTAATTGTGAAACAATATTATAGTGAAAAAGTTAATCACTATTTATAGTGATTAACGACTGGACGTAGAATCTTTTGATTCGAACCAGGATAAAAATCATCTGTGTGATTTTTCTTTTCAATACACTCTTTAAACTTTTGGCACATCAACTGTTCGATAAAAGTTTTACAAGAAAATTAAAGGAACCCTTTTATTGACTGAACACGCTTTCCGCTCCTAACAATCTAATACGTTTTAACTCCGTTACGCAAAATCGGTACCGATTGTTCCAACAAAATATAATGTTGATCCAGAACTTTAAAGTTAAAAATGGGTAACTTAGCATGATAAATTGTGTTGGAATTAGATTTTCCAACTCTATTCTTAAGTGTGCTTATCGTTTCATTGAATTAACATACGTTGTTAATTGTTCCTAGAAATACACTAATGTAATCATAGACCCATGTCTACAGCCTAGAACCTAAAGACATTCAAACTCAGTGTGATTTCTCTATTCCTGATGAATGAATTCTTTACATTAATTTGAACAAGACTCTATCATCAACTAAAGCATATAGGCGCATGCCCATCACCTAACAACATTAGATGACTCAATTGGATCTATAAAACAAATTAACTTTTGCCTAACTCGAGTTATATATGCAACGAATGGTTGATTAATTCATCACACATGGGATGCAAAATGAATCACTAACATATGGACAACTACTTATATAAAATAATAAAACAATACTAGTACAAAAGTTTAAAGTGCTACATCCAATCCCAACACTTTGGAAGTTCAACAACTCATGATAATTCTAACAATTGATCCTAGGAGTTGCTATCCATTCCATATGTCTCCTCTAGTCTAAGAGATATTACAAGTGAAATGAGATCAATAGACTCTAGAGAGAGAAACCAGAATCTAGATGGAATTCTAGATATAAAATAAGGGGGTTTCCCCCTAATTTATAGAAATTGGAAGATCTGACTCTTCAAAAGAATGGTTTCATTTATTCATCAAAGAACCTAGAAACAGACTCCCCCCACAAGAAACGTTGGTGGACAAAGGCAATAAACAATGAAAAAGACATTGTAGACAAATGAAATTAGGAGAGCAGGATTGAGATACTTAAACATAGGTGTTGAAAGACAAAGTTCTTAGGGCGTCCGACCGAGACGATCAAAATCGTGTCTCACAAAATGAACTCTCATATGTGCTTCTTCCTTTAATGCTCGAAATCTTCCACCCCAATCCAAGGTCAAACCTTCTTTCTATTCGAACCACCATCTTAAAACATCCATTTTGTACTTGACTTCCACATGCTACCTATTAAGAGAACTCATTCATCTCCTTCTAATTGTTTAACTTAACATAAATTTATTCTTTCCTTCTCATCAGGGACTATGTTTCTCTAACTTAGAAAACTCTATACTATCCTACTACTCCTCATGATTTTCTTCACCTTAGCTTTCTTATCTAAAGAGTGATCCCCTTTGGTTTACTTCGAGGTTCCTATGCCTTTCTTAGCTTTCACTCTAAACCTTCCATCACTTTCCTTCTTNAACTGATCACATGACAGTTGACACTTTTGTCCAACTGTGGCATGTGCTGAAATGTCAGTAAAGTAGCTTTGATTTGAAAATCTTAACATTCATTCAATTCATGTACAAAAAAAAAGGTGTGATATATGGCTTCATTACTAATTATGGCATTGTTGACCCCCATTAATGACACACTAGATACTGCAAATAAACAACTTATATACAGAGATTTTAGACAAGGTGACACACATTTTAGTTACATCACATGGTTCTGACTTTCTAATCAGGTCATGCAGGACCTTCATTTTTGCATGGAAAATTTTGCAATGACAGGCTATTTAGTTTGACTAATTGATGGTTTGGCATGGAATTGACCATTGAACTAACTGACTGACTAACTACTTGCAGTCGTACCCATCAATGACGAATCACCTGAAATCAGGACTGTACCAATGGGGTGGTGATGCAGCAAGTTTTGAGAAAGAGGGTCCCTACATTGAGCTGGTTACTTCTCCCAATAATCCTGATGGACATGCAAGAATATCCAAGGTCAACAGAAGCCAGGGATTTTTGGTTCATGACCTTGCTTATTACTGGCCACAGTACACTCCAATATCAGCACCTGCAGATCATGATCTTACCCTTTTCACTGTTTCAAAAACCACTGGCCATGCTGGAATGCGCATAGGGTAAGTTCACCCATATCATAAAGACTACCTTTTTCTACAGTCCTCAATTATTTTCTCTTTCACAACATTTGTACAACGTTCATTGGATGTTTCTTCAATTACTGTTCTACCATAATTGGAATTTTACTTTCTTAACCTGCATAATGCTTTGATGTAAATCTTCAGTTGTTTTTTTTAACTGTAATGTTAGTTGTTTGTATGTTAGCAGGGGAGTTAACTCACAGCCTCTTCCACTCTTCTTTCTAAACCAATCTTATAATTTCTAAGTGTCAGAGGAGAGAGTTGAATCCACAATTTATCCTACTCTTCCTTTCAATTTTACCACTAAATCAATCTTATAACTCGATGTAAATCTTCAGTAACTAGATTATCAAAATTAAACTCTTAATTATCATTAGAAAACAATACAAAGTCACAATGAACATATCTGTAACTTATTTAAGTTCATATCTTTTATCAATCTTTTTAAGACTCTTTTGTTAGAAAGTATTGACATATGTGAAACCAAATATGTTAATGATTAATCTAGAAGTATTGGTAGTTGAACAGGAACCATTTTGGTTTCCTGAAAGGTGTTTGATGTATCAAAAAATAAAGTAAAGAAAGATGAAGGAAATTCCTAGAAGAATCCACATTAACTTTTGTATTTTGTGTAGGTGGGCTCTTGTGAAAGACAAAGAAGTGGCAAAGAAAATGACAAAATTCATAGAGCTGAACACAATTGGAGTGTCTAAGGATTCTCAACTCAGGGCTGCTAAGGTTTTAAGGGCAGTTTCTGACAGCTGGGAACAAGGAAACTCCAAAGAGGGGGAGTCATTCTTCAAGTTCAGCCACAAACTCATGGCAAACAGGTGGAAACAACTGAGACTAGTGGTGGAGCATAGTGAGTTGTTCAGTTTGCCTAAATTTTCACAATCATTCTGCACTTTTTTCAAACAGGTCTTGGAGCCTCAACCAGGTACTTACTTGCTCAATTCATCACAAATTTAATTTCATGCATTCATTTCGTCTTTCTCAGTATGGTTTTCAGTTACTTGTTTAGTGATTTTGTTTGTGCTTAGCTTTTAAGAAAAGTGTATCCGTAATTAACTTCAATTTACATCAAGTCTTACATTGTTTATGTTTTATGCATATTTGATGATTTGACAGCTTTTGTGTGGTTAAAGTGTGAGGGAAACGTGGAAGACTGCGAAAGCTTCCTTCGAGCACACAACATCTTAACTAGAAGTGGAAAACACTTTGGGGTCAGTCCAAAATACGTAAGAATTAGCATGTTGGATACTGATGAAAATTTTAGCCACTTTCTAGAGAGACTTTCTACCATAAAGTCGTGATTGCTGAAATTTGCTTCTGGGTAATGTTTGTATGATATTTAGAAGTGTTAGTTTTCTGTATGATGGAAAGTGAAACACAGAAATGCAATTTTGCTCCTTCTCTTTTTGCTGCATATTTCATTCATGTCATGGCTATTTCTCTGTTTAATAATAATAGTACCTCAATAATCCAATTCTTTTAATACAAATAATTGATACAATTTTGGACAAAATGATGATGTACAAGACACAAAAAACATTACAAGATTAACTAACATAGTTTAACAAAGTTATCTTATATAATTTCTTCAATTTTTTTAACTTGAGGAGAAGTAACTTTAATGTTTTTCAATCGTTGAGGAAAACTAATGGACTCTTGTTCATATTTCACATACCTTTCTACGCTTTTACCCAATCTCGTAACAGTAGTTCTGATACAACATAGATTAATTGAAATTATGTATTAGGAATGACAAATATCAACAAGTCACAAGTATCTACAGGTAAAATCCTTATTAACTGGTTGGGTTACTATCTACTAAAGAAACAAAATTATATTTTTATCCTTATTAGGTTTAAGTTGTTGAGGTTTTATTTAAAAATGTATTTTTTGTTAGTATTATGTAAGAAAACATCCTTAATCAATTAAAGATAGAAAAAAAAATTACATTATTATAATATTTACATATAAACGTTATAATTACCGGATAAACTCTCATGCTTCCCCATCATATTCATTCATTACATCATATAGAAATTGGAATGTTACATATTCACACATCTCATGCCTACATAATATTATTACTCAAAATACTTTGAAAACCACTATTTTGTGTGCTTCTTACATTAGTACTTTACGAAGTACATAAATATTAATGTTATGGAAAGTAATACAAAAAATATTTAGGAAAATAAAAATGCGTTTTGAAAAATATGATCCAAAATGTAAAAAGGAAAAGTGTTTATGAAATACTTTTTAAAATACTCTCTTTATAGTCCAAAGTATATTTTTGGCACACATTTTTTTTCTTTTAATATTTTGTAAAGCACCTTTTAAATTTTTTTTCCATTTTCGTGTTTCCAAAAGCATTTTCAAAATGTCAAGAAAAAGAAATTTATTATGAAATGTTAATTTTGTTTCCAAGAAATACATTCCAAAATGTAAAAATAGAAAATTGTGTTCTATTAACTAATTTTCGAATTACTCTTCTTTTAATATTTCAAAATGTATTTTCCTTAGTACATTTTATTTTTTTTAATATTATGAAATATTTATATTTGTTAATTGTTTTTCCGAACATGAAACAAGAAAGTGATAGCAAGGGTATATCATTTTTTTAAATAAATGAATGAAAATGGTTGTAAACAAAAGAAGCCTTAATTTTTTTTACGTAAACTCTTTAATCTTATTTAATCCCAAAACACTGACAGTAGCTGTTTTAAAGTTTTGTATTGAGGCCCGAATTATATGAATGTACTACAATATGTGATACAGCAGTGTATAGATTTCTAAAAATGTAATGAGTTTTATACTCTTATTCAATCACAAACCCTTATTTATAATATTAACATGAGATATTTTGCATAAAACTTACGTACGTTTATGAATAATACTACTTATTTATTTCCTTTTGCCTTTTTTTAATCTCTTTGTCTTCATTTTAATGGGATTTTGATACCCCAAGCCTGGTTTCTTAGCCCGCCATTTTGTATTGGTCTAGCTTAAGGCCCAAATATAAAAAAATGGGGCTTTTCTTCTTGCACCTCCATAATTTCTATTTACTAAAAATTTCAGAACAAATTTTCTGCAAATTATAGAACACGCTTTTCAAAACAAGAACGCATGGAATGTATTTTGAAATGAGCTTTTTGGAAAAAAAAAATTCAAATTTTTATTGCACCGTATGTGATTAGACACAAGAGTACATGTTTAGTTGTCTTTGCTACCTAATGACAAAAAAAGCACAAAGTCTAAGCTTCTTCTAGATTTTTATTTATGCGGTTAAGATTGGTTTTAGCAAGGATGTTGTGTAAGAGTACCCTCCATACAAAGGTAATGATCTTTGTTGGTGCACCCATTCCAAGAGGTCCTTTCTCTACGTAAACCTTCACTCATATGATTTTCCTTCCATGTTCCTTTTTGATTGATCTTTCGGTTTGAGAATAATCACACTAGAAAGTGCATTGATTTAATTGTAGTACCAAATGTCATATCTACATGTACCTGATCAATATGATCTTTCGGTTCGAGAACAATCATACTAGAAAGTGCATTAGTTTAATTGTAGTACCAAGTGTCAAGGATTTGATCAACATTTATCAAAACTCGTGATGCTATTTTGGATTTGAAAATAAAACATTTTGATTGTGAAATATGTTACCAATGAGGAAGCATTGGTGTCTTGAAGATAATGATTTTGATGATGTTACAAAGTGAAGAATATGAAGACTCTTGTTGTATTAAGTTTAAAAGCATTCTTGTATAACAGAAGATACCAGGATCGAGCAGTTAAGTATCGAGCGGTGGAAGACATGACCGAGACCAAGAGAGGTATGACCAAGACCGAGTAGTTAGGACCGAGTGGTGGACGCATGACCGAGACCAAGCGAGGTATGATCAAAACTGAGCAGTTAGGACTGAGCAATGGAAGGCATGACTGAGACCAAACGAGACATAAATGAGACCGAGCGATAGTAGTTAGGTTTTTGAGTTCTGACACTGTAGAATAAAATGTTAAGAGTTGGAAGGAGAGAGAGAAGAAAAGGTCAGGTTGAATGGTGGAAAGTTGTAAAGAATTAGGCCGAACGGTGGAAAGCTGTAAGAAGTTGAGTCGAACGATGGATGCCGACTAGTTGGAAGAGTTAAATATTCTAACTATTCCAAGTCTCGCAGATAATCGATTATCACTTACAATAATCGATTATCATTGGCAATTGTAATATGTCTTTTCAGTTTCGACCTGCATGCTATATATACTTTTGTCAAATTCCTTTATAAGTTATCTATGCCATTTGAGAATACAGTTTGTCTGAGGAAGTTCTCAAGTGATAGTGTTTACTCTTTTCAAGTCTTGTGAATAGGAGAAGCTCGCGCTTTGTGCGTCAAAGGTCGGAGTGGTTCCCTTCAAGTTGGCAGAGTTGTCTCTTCCGGTTCGTTTGTCGAAGGAATGTTTTTTATGCTGTTCTTAATTTATATTCATCTTGTTGTAATTGTGAAACAATATTTTAGTGAAAAAGTTAATCACTATTTATAGTGATTAACGACTGGACGTAGAATCTTTTGATTCGAACCAGGATAAAAATCATCTGTGTGATTTTTCTCTTCAATGCACTCTTTAAACTTTTAGCACATCAACTGTTCGATAAAAGTTTTACAAGAAAATTAAAGGAACCCTTTTATTAACTGAACACGCTTTCCGCTCTTAACAATCTAATATGTTTTAACTCCGTTACGCAAAATCGGTACCGATTGTTCCAACAAAATATAATGTTGATCCAGAACTTTAAAGTTAAAAATGGGTAACTTAGCGTGATAAATTGTGTTGGAATTAGATTTTCCAACTCTATTCTTAAGTGTGCTTACCGTTTCATTGAATTAACATACGTTGTTAATTGTTCCTAGAAATACACTAATGTAATCATAGACCCATGTCTACAGCCTAGAACCTAAAGACATTCAAACTCAGTGTGATTTCTCTATTCCTGATGAATGAATTCTTTACATTAATTTGAACAAGACTCTATCATCAACTAAAGCATATAGGCGCATGCCCATCACCTAACAACATTAGATGACTCAATTGGATCTATAAAACAAATTAACTTTTGCCTAACTCGAGTTATATATGCAACGAATGGTTGATTAATTCATCACACATGGGATGCAAAATGAATCACTAACATATGGACAACTACTTATATAAAATAATAAAACAATACTAGTACAAAAGTTTAAAGTGCTACATCCAATCCCAACACTTTGGAAGTTCAACAACTCATGATAATTCTAACAATTGATCCTAGGAGTTGCTATCCATTCCATATGTCTCCTCTAGTCTAAGAGATATTACAAGTGAAATGAGATCAATAGACTCTAGAGAGAGAAACCAGAATCTAGATGGAATTCTAGATATAAAATAAGGGGGTTTCCCCCTAATTTATAGAAATTGGAAGATCTGACTCTTCAAAAGAATGGTTTCATTTATTCATCAAAGAACCTAGAAACAGACTCCCCCCACAAGAAACGTTGGTGGACAAAGGCAATAAACAATGAAAAAGACATTGTAGACAAATGAAATTAGGAGAGCAGGATTGAGATACTTAAACATAGGTGTTGAAAGACAAAGTTCTTAGGGCGTCCGACCGAGACGATCAAAATCGTGTCTCACAAAATGAACTCTCATATGTGCTTCTTCCTTTAATGCTCGAAATCTTCCACCCCAATCCAAGGTCAAACCTTCTTTCTATTCGAACCACCATCTTAAAACATCCATTTTGTACTTGACTTCCACATGCTACCTATTAAGAGAACTCATTCATCTCCTTCTAATTGTTTAACTTAACATAAATTTATTCTTTCCTTCTCATCAGGGACTATGTTTCTCTAACTTAGAAAACTCTATACTATCCTACTACTCCTCATGATTTTCTTCACCTTAGCTTTCTTATCTAAAGAGTGATCCCCTTTGGTTTACTTCGAGGTTCCTATGCCTTTCTTAGCTTTCACTCTAAACCTTCCATCACTTTCCTTCTTAAGACCTCTAACATAGCTGATTTGCAAGATCAAGTTGATTTATCAAACCTTGTTACAAAAGCACATACCAAGAACTACTTTTATTCTCCTCTCTAAACTCGACTCCTCTTGCAAAACATGCGATATCCTCTCCTAAAACTTGTTTCTTAAAACTCTTTCGATCTAAAACGTTTCTTCTGAACTCCATCATCTTTTTCCATCCTTCGAAACTCACACTATGATCTTCTAACTCCTAAGCTTCAACACACTTCATCACTACCTTTTTTAGACAAGAAATTATCTAAAAGGCTTAACAAATTCTTTTAAAAGTAAGTATACCAAGTTAACCTCGAATTTGCATTCCTTTATCACTATAAAGCACCTAATACTACCATAGAGGCA